CTTCAGCCCCAGTCCTAATCCATTCCTTATGCTTCAGCCCCAGTCCTAACCTGCTGATGTTCTTGAAGAAGAAGGGTTCAGTCTGCCAGTATTGTCTATACTCAGATGTGTCACCACAGGTTCTCACAGAGATCACCCAGACATGGACAGCCATGGAATTCTGCTACGAAGACCACTACCGGACATCAACTCCACTTTTAAAATCGGATGAAGAACTAATTGATGCTTTAGAAGACAACCAGGTATTGGTTGGAAACATAAACGCGACAGTTTGGTAGAGCTGAATCATTTTAAGAATTTTAATCAGAAATAGACTCCTCAATCTGTGTTAGAATTATTTTTTTAATTTCTGTTCTGTATAGCTTTTATCGTTTTTTTCAAATTTCAGTACACATTTCATTACACATTTTGTCCCTGTGTCCATGTGTCAGCTATGGACAAGACTAAGCAAACACAGAGCAGTCTCTGAATGGGGAGGATTACTGGAGTACAGAGCTGCAAGATTAGTGGAGGCATGAAACATTCCAATGTTTTTTTTAGATCTCTGAGGCTGCAACAGTGCAAAATATGGCCTGTCTATTCCTAGTCATGACAATTTGAATGGAAGTGGTGAACTAATGCTCTCAGTGCACTGCGCTGGGACTGGGGCTGGACTGAGTCTGTTGTTTTTGTATGGCAAGCGCGGTCTAGTCTGCAACTCTGATGAGCAGAGAAGAAAACTGTCTCTGTAGGGCAGCTGTTTGAGTTCCCAGACACATCTGTGCATGGTCTGACATTCCTGTGCTGTGTAGATTTGGGTAATGAGTTGAAAACAGGTGTGAAACTGGCCTACAAATAAAACCTGTTTCTAGACAGTGCAGCATATTCACCCTTGGACAATCCTGTACTGTCAGAGGAAGTATTCATGCATTGGCCTTCACTACCCCTGGTAATATCTCCCTTACAAATTCATTAGATGGATAATTTGTCCATGAGGGAAATCAGAAAAAATACTAAAATGCCAAAACAAGAGCATTAAAGTGAACTAATATGATTTTTTGGAAATGATTGGTTGTTTTGTTTTGAGATAATTCCTTTTTTGGGATTCCACTTTAACTCCGGAGTTACTTGACTCATTATTATTAGCGGGCCGTATTCATGTTATTATTAGTAGGACAGTTGATCTGCGTGGGCTTCCACTCGCAGACAGTGCAGCTGTGGTGTCCTCCCTGTTGCTCTCAGGTGCAGCTGCAGGCCATCCTGCAGAGCAAGCACGTGGAGCACTTCCTGGAGCAGGTGTCCGGCTGGCAGAGGAGGCTGACGGTGGCCGACTCGGTCATCCTCATCTGGCTGGAGGTGCAGCGGACCTGGGCGCACCTGGAGAGTATCTTCATCGGCTCCGAGGACATCCGGGGGCAGCTGCCCCAGGACGCCGGGAGGTTCGACGGCATAGATGCGGATTTTAAGGTAGCTAGGGCGGACAGTGGCTTACAAATGAATTTTCTAAAAGTCCCTTTTGCAAACTGTAATTAAGATTAGACATAATTTCATTCTATTGAAACAATATTCCTGCTGTTTTTAATAGACTGATTAGAATTAATGATAAAACAATATGAAAATTTGTATTATATGCCTTTTCTTTACATCTGTGAATAATCTGTGATCTTGAAGTAAAATTCTTGTTCTTGTGATGTTAAAGGTGGTCCCATTTGTGTATCACATCAGGCTGACTTCATTCACTGTACCTCTGTCACAAAGTTCTTGGCTCTTTCTGCTCAAGATATTGCTTTGCGAATGTCGGTAGATTTGAAAAGGTGAAGAAGAAAGTGATTTAAGAAGCAGGCTAAATTATTCCTGAGAGTGCATCTGGGTTTGGTAGTGTAGATAACTCTGTGATGCTGACAGGAGAACCTGAAATGCAGTTCCTCTTCAGCACGGTAAATGGGTCAGCACACACCTGACAGTCAGACTCTCGCAGAACAGTAGTTGTTCCTGACTGCCCTCAAACGGTCATCATGCTGTGGTGCAGTTTAACTATCTGCTTCTCTCTGTCTGTGTGAAGGAACTCATGTTTGAAAGCACCAAAACAAAGAACGTAATAGAAGCCACCAACAAGCCCCATTTGTTTGAAAGGCTCGAGGATCTGCAGAAAAGGTTTGTGCTGAATCGTCTTCTTTGACAAGGGGTGTCGGCCAGCTGTGGAATGCCCGGGTGTTCGGCAGACAGGCCCAGGTAGGAACGGCACTGCTCTTCCCTCCCAGGCTGGCGGTGTGCGAGAAGGCTTTAGCCGACTATCTGGAAACCAAGCGGCTGGCCTTCCCCCGTTTCTACTTCGTCTCCTCTGCGGACTTGCTGGATATCCTTTCCAAAGGCACGCAGCCTAAAGAGGTGAGGAGGACCCTGCAGGAAAGTGGAAGGCTGCTACAGGTTCTGGGGGAGAAAATTATATTGTGATAATTATGTTGAAGCTTTTTTTCTGGATTGCACACTGATTTCAGCCTTTTGCAACTAATTTTTTAAGGGTTCTAAGGGTGGGGGGGGGATGTGTAAAACAAATGTATTTAAAACGTAGAAGAAGAAGCTCTTCTTTACACAAAGAGTTGTGGGAGCGTGGAGCAGGGCGTCCAGCATTGTTGTTGAAGCTGATGTGTCTTCCAAGAAGCTACTCGACGAGATCCTGGGATCGGTAAGCTCCTCAGACCAAACGAGCTTGGCTGGCCAACTGGTCTCTTCTCCTGGCCAACGATCTCATAAACGTTCTGTAACATCATATGTAAAATGATCACCTAATCCCTAGGTCTATTTCTTTAATAGGTCACACGGCACCTTGCCAAACTGTTTGACAATATGGCCGACTTACAGTTTGAGAGCAGTGAAAGGCAAAGTTCAGTGGCAGTGGGAATGTTCAGCAAAGAAAAAGAATATGTTCCCTTCCACACGCACTGCAATTGTATCGGTCAGGTAAGATTGGTTTTGTTTCCATCTCGCAGCCTTAAACCACTAAAAAGAAAGGCAGGCTTCCCAAGATCAGGGAGCATTGATTACTGCTCGTGCCGGAGTGACTGATAACCGCTGTTGAGGTCTGACTGTAGCACAGCGCCACCTGGAGTATGAGTGAGGAAAAGACATCTTTACATATTAAAATGGCATGTTGGCCAGTTGGGTTTGGTGTATCCCGGTATTAGGAATTATTTTTTATATATTGGAATAATTAATGCTTTTACTTATACTTTTGGTGTTAATTCTTTTACTTGAAGTTTTAGTGCTTTTAATGAAGTTTTAGCATTGCTCCCAGCACAGTCCTTAATGGCAAAAAACTATACAGCTGCAGCACAGAAACTTTGTGTCAAGTTGAGCCGCATTTCCTTGCAGACCCGTCACTGGCGTGTTTTCCAGGTGTCTCAGTCAGAGTGTGACTTTAGCCCGAGCGAGAGAGCGTCGGCGGCTACAGCGCAGTGCGGGGTTTAGACCGCAACAGCGCTGCTGCCGCGCTCTGGCCTATTCATTCATCATCTCTGCAGCCGACGTGCGCACGACCCCTGTTGCAGTTCGATGTGATAAGCAGCAGCGAGCAGGGGGCCGCCCTGCTGGCGGGTCTGAGTGCGCGCTGTGCTCTTCGCAGGTGGAGGTGTGGCTGAACCGCCTGGAGGAGGCGATGCGCCGGACCGTCCGCGGCCAGCTGGCCGAGGCCCTGGGTGCCTACGAGGACAAGCCCCGGGAGCAGTGGGTCCTGGACTGGCCAGCGCAGGTCTCCCTCACCGGCTCCCAGATCTGGTGGACCGCCGACGTGGGGATAGCGTTCGAGAGGCTGGAGGAGGGCTTTGAAACGGCCCTGAGAGATTACAATAAGAAACAGGTGACAAGGCCAGTTGGTCGCAGCACTGCGGCCACCTGTGCCTCGTGAGTTCAGTGAGCGTGGGGTGGAATGTTGTGACATGTTGCTCCAGCTGAGGAGGAGCTCTGGTCGTATTAGCACACACTGGCAGGCGACATACTCGTCCGTGCCTCGTGTTTGTGAAGGGTTTCATGATGTAAGATGTGAGGAGATAATTCTGAAGAAAAAGTATCGCCGGCAGAGTCTGTACTTGCACACCTTAAATAACATGCCTTAGTAACGTCTCTTTTTGGGACTCGGCTACTGTATCTGTTCAGACTCCAAAGGCCAGCAATGTCTGTCTTCGGGTGACCATTGGTAACAAACCTAGTCTACTGCCTTTCTTAAAAGTATGGTGGGGATTCTAGTGCTTCACAAAAGCAAACAATAATACATTGTTTATTCACCTATATACAGAATCTATTATCAGAAAGTTGATTAATCCCATTGAGGATCGCAACAGCTCGGAACCTAGCCCTGAAAACTACAGCCCCGAGTGAACACCAGTCCATTGCTGGACACGCAGACACACACACACACGTGGTCGGACACTCACGCACATGCACAGCACATGCATGATGCACGCTCCGACACACACGGCACACACAGGAATGCTCACATGCACACACTCACACACATGCATACAGCAACAATTTGGAGACACCAAGTGCAGCATAGACAATCAACTCAGCCAACATGTCTTTGGGTGGAGGATGTTTCTAGTCCCAGTGTTACAGCTCATTCACAAGCACCTACAGAAGGACTGTCTCCACTCCACAAGCAAACACATTTTGCCCACTCTGCTTGGGGAGATTGATCAATGACATGTAGCCCCATCAGCCTGAAGCAACATGTGTGACCTTCTTATATTAGATCAACCTCAAACCCACACACACTCGCAAATCCAGTGCAGGAAGAATTATTACAGCAACAGTATAGTAGCAGGATTCTTCAGTGCCACTGTAATAGTGAACTAAAAAGCCAAGGATGTAAGGAGATGTTAATTATATTATTACAATTCAGTGTATATATAGTAAATGTAGAACTGTCAGGAGAACTCGGTTCTCTGTTAATTTGAAACTTGCTATTGCAAGAGAGAGAGTCATCTGCAAGAAGGCAAGTAACAGAGATAATGATTCTCTTATCGTAAGACAACAACTAGAGATAATGGCTGCATGAAAGAAATATTGATGTAAAGTACAGTACAGCGTTTGTTAATTTGCAGTATGCGTTGTTGTTGCTATGCACAGATCGCACAGCTGAACGCTCTCATTAACATGCTGCTGGGAGAGCTGGCTCCAGGAGACAGGCAGAAAGTCATGACTATCTGTACCATCGATGTTCACGCCAGGGATGTGGTAGCAAAGCTCATAGCTCAGAAGGTAAGCTGGGCTTTGAACATACACTGCTGACACCATTTGTGGTTAGAATTCAGTTCCCCATAGATAAAACAGTTTGTTTTAGAAGTTTACACAAGGCATGTCTGTGTACAGAATGCAATAATCTAAAATTCCTTCAGCCTTCTCCTTTGTCAAAAGACAGTTTGAAGTGACCTGGAGCAGATAAGAACATAAATTTGATGTTTTGAAACATTGAGTTGAAGGTCATTTGACCCAACTAGCTTGTTTGGTTGCTAATGGCTTTATCGACTCAAGAATCTCATTCAGATGCTTCTTGAAGGTTCCCAGGGAATCAACATACACAATGTGGCCCGACAGCTTGTTCCACACACCCACCACGCTTTGTGTATTGACGCACCTTCTTTTCACAGTTCCAATCTGCGCTTTTAGTGACGTACAGTAGCTCACAGTCGTACCCATGTGTTCTTGTTTCACTGCCAGGCATAAAATCACCCATGAGGTTGATAAAGACATTCAAGTCTTTTAACACAACTGTGCAGGAGGCTCAAGTCCTTTTATAATGCAGTATAGGAGTGAGGTCTGACTAGTACAACACTAACTACTTTATTTTAACTTTAATTATTAATTTCATACCATAGCATTTTGTGTGCTTTTTTTTTTGCTTCTGCACATTGTCAACTTGAAGTCCCTTTCATAGGCTTCTGCTTCATCTAGCATTTATAGAGGACATTTTTACTACCCTCTGTTCCTCTGCACTTGCCTGTGCTATACCAGGTGCCCGGTGTCTGCCCAGTGTTTTCATAATGTTTTTAGATTTTTGGATTGTCTTTACTGCTTATATAATGTGTGCAATGCCTCTTAATTTGCAGTGAGCATTGATATAACCTAGGAAGAGCTGCAATGCATAAGCTGGTAATTTTCACAATATTTTGGAGGTTGCAGTTGTTAGTTGTTTAACGGAGGTAAGACCGATTCTAGTTGCCTGGCTTTGTTTTGTCCCTCTTTTGCGCCGTTGGATAAATATTTGTGATCGTGCAGTTACAGCGCCGTGTTCTGAGGGTCCCTGCTCTCTCCACTCTCCATGCTCAGAGCCTGTGATCGTTGGGATCACATCCAGGCAGCGGGAGGAGAGCTGCTCTTGTCCTGTTCACAGTTTCTGCATTTCATAGTTGATATGCACAGTCCTCTGCGTTCTTAGTCATACCTCGATTTCAGTTGGATATCAAATTGTCCTCCGCTCAGAGGGTGATGCCCTGGCTGTCCCGCAGGTCGGCAGCTCTCAAGCCTTTGCCTGGCTGTCTCAGTTGCGCCCCCGCTGGGACGAGGAGCAGGGCCACTGTTTCGCCAACATCTGCGATGCGCAGTTCCGGTATTCCTACGAGTATCTGGGCAACACCTCCCGCCTGGTCATCACGCCGCTCACGGACAGGTAAGGAAGAGAGGAGAATTGAGCCCTGAGCGTTATTATCCCATGGGAAAGGCAGTGACGGTACAGATCCCGTGTCCTGTGCTTCCTCCGGTGATGGCGCAGGTGTTACATCACGCTGACGCAGTCCCTGCACCTGACCATGAGTGGGGCTCCTGCAGGCCCAGCCGGCACAGGCAAGACAGAGACCACGAAGGACCTGGGCCGAGCGCTGGGCATCATGGTCTATGTCTTCAACTGCTCCGAGCAGATGGACTACAAGGTAGCGCACCGCGCAGAGGCACCACTCTGTGACAGCTCATGCACACTCCAGCCCCTGTCCTCAGGCAGGAATTACATTTTTAAATAGAGCAGGTTGAGTCCTTTGAGTGATGGAGGCTGGGTCATGTCACTAGCTGACCTCGAGCAGTTGTGCATGATGGGCTGGGATTCGATGTTCGCTCAGGGCTCTCCTTAGTTCTTGGTGCAACAGTGACCCCTGTGGCCTCCCAGTCACCTGCAGGCGCTTGTCGCCATGTGATGCTGTTGGTGACACACACACCTGCCCTTTACAAGCACTTAACTTGCAACACTGGCCTGTGTAGCCTGTGATGTGTTAAAAGATGATTGGCTTGAAGACAGGCAGGTGGGAGGAGTCTGCCTACACTTCCTCTTTCTCCCCTCTGTGTGGTTGCTTAGAGCTAAGACATGAAAAACTCACTTGTGATTGCAGAGCTTGTGGGCATTAAAAAAAGAATTGCCAAGTCTCAATTAAAAACAGCATGAAGTGGGTGCAAAAGAAGTGTTTCAAAGCTATAGTTTATGGAGCTGTTAAACAGAAGTTTGAGAGGAGGTCAGATTCTAATCTCACACTTATGCTCTCCTGTGTATAAATACTCGCAGACTGTCCACCACTCTGAGCGCATCTTTTTTAGCCCCCCTCCCTCCAATCCAGCTTCACCCTAATAGCTGGCTCCCTGCTTCATTCCCTGTAAATGAGGGGGCTGTGACAGCACTGCTCTCTGACTAGCACTGTTATTTCCTCATCCAGGTGAGTTAAAATACTGAAACATAAGTACCTTTATATTTGTTGTCTCAACTCGTCAGAATTATGAACTACTGAAATTATTTTATGGACTTGAAAGGAAGAAACCAGAAACCCAAGGCGTCTCTGGTTCCTGATAGACGCAGGTTGGAGGACCTGGTATGCATTTCAGACATTGTGCATGGGCTTTGTCTTGCATGTCTGTTTTGAAGGTTTCCTTGTGTCCCATTTCAAATGTTTCAGGTTTATGAAAATGAAAATGCAGTGGCTAGAATAGGTGTGTAAAACCAAACTTGAGTGACAGAAGGAATATGCAGACGGCTCATTACGATGTCCTCTTCTTGCGGGACCATGACTCCTTGTTCAACAATGTACTGAAGCTGTCGTGTTTGTCTGTGCCTTCCTGCGCTTTAGTCCATCGGGAACATCTATAAAGGCCTGGCGCAGACGGGTGCCTGGGGCTGTTTTGATGAGTTTAACCGAATCTCCGTGGAGGTGCTGTCTGTAGTTGCTGTGCAAGTTAAAACCATACAGGATTCGATAAGAAACAAGAGAAAGAGGTAGGTCCATTTGTCTTCATTTGCCCGATTACTGTAGTTTTCCCTCACCAAGTGTCTCCCTCAAGCCCTGTTGTTCTCTGCAGGTTTCTCTTCCTCGGGGAGGACATTGCTCTGAAGCCGTCCGTGGGGATATTCATCACAATGAATCCTGGCTATGCAGGGAGAACAGAGCTCCCGGAAAACCTCAAAGCTTTATTCAGGCACGCTCCCACAGTGTTTTCAAGTGTACAATCCACACTATATATAGCTCTGGAGATTCCTGCGCACAGCCTCATGACAGCTTACCTTGCACCGTTCATCATTGTACAGTGGTTGAAGTTTATTTTTAAGTAGCTGTCTTTGACTGCAAATTTCAGAGGATAAAAGGGTTTAAGATCTTTACCTGGGCATCTTGCTGTCGTGGTGGGATGCCGGGAGTTTGTGTTCCTGTATTTCTCTGATACAGATGTGTCACCATCTGTATCCGCTTGCAGGCCCTGTGCCATGGTGGTGCCGGACATCGAGCTGATCTGCGAGATCATGCTTGTTGCTGAAGGCTTCCTTTCCGCACGGCTGCTGGCCAGAAAGTTCATTACTTTATACACTCTCTGCCGAGAACTGCTCTCGAAACAGGTACCGGGGGATTCGGATGTGGTGTTGCCACACATGGCTTTCATGCACGTGCAGGTTTACAGAGGTGCATCTCGGGGTGTTTGCGCGTAGCCGATTACGGTGACGTGTCTAGAGATGCCCTCAGTACGGCAGGCAGTTGTTAAAAGATTACCCAGCTTAATTATGGTCACCATGAGAGATGTACTCCTTCTAGAATAGCCTGCTTTATAAACGGGGTTTCTTACATACAAGACATACAGACTTAAGACATTCCTATTTCTAGTCCCTCTGTATGAGGTCATGCATTTCGAAAAGTGCTGCTTCAGTAGCACTCCTCCCTTGTAACTTCACTGTTCAAGTCATCTCACTTTAGGAGACCGACCTCTAAACATAGAATGTAAGCAGAGTGCTAAAGGTTCTTTTGACTGCCATTCGACACTGCCTTTCACCAGCTACTTGATTTTCATTTTTTGTGTTTATTATATGACAATTTGAAAGGGCAAATTGTTAGCTTTTTTAGCTAATCTAAAAAAAGTAACTCTAAGTCTGTTTGTACAGCAGCAAATTGTTTTTTGGGCTGGTATTATTTGCATGGTGAGCTGCTCTGGTATCATGAATACCAGCTGTCAGTCAGTTGTCGCTATTGTCTTGACCAGGACCTGTGTTCTGTTTGTAGTCTAATGAAGGTGTGTCGTGTAACAACAGGGAGGGACTGTCGTACAACAAGGGGGAAAGGCTCTTGTAGCCTACAAGGCAGTAATTATCCACAGTCGTGAGAACATAAACTGATAAATTATATAAAGTTTTAGTCATATAGACCGTGCAAGTAACACAAAACAAGATCAATTAAACTTCAGAAGCATAATTCATGCATCCCAGCTCAGTCTACTACTCTGCAGTAATGAACTGTAATGAACCAGCTGTTAAATGCTATTTAATGAGCTTGCTGCTGCATGGACTATAATTCCAGTGGAAAAAAAGGAATGAACTTCCCAATTACATTTCCTTAAATACAACACAAAGAGAATTCTGTATTGTGTGTATGCTGCTGGACCGCCAAAGGCAAGCAGATGTCATGGTCTCGTTCCAATTCTCCTTTGTCACCGGGGGATCTATTACAGTAGCTACCAGCAGCCCAATGTGCAAGATGAGCCTAATGCCCTTTTTTGAGGTCCACCAAAACACACGTCTGAAGGCTGCACTCCTGATGGTTATTTAGCACATTGGCAGTCACCTTTATACAGGTGTTTTGAAGCGGGTAATGATTGTAGAGTGGATGAACACTGTCTAAACAATAAGGTATTTGTGCCTTGTATGCTTTAAAATCAGTGTGGTCACAATGTGGCATTTAAGAACCTGATTGTTTTTTGTTTAATTGGAATTTCTGAACTATGGAGGGAATTTGTAACATCTTAATGAAAATGTGATACAGTTACTTCACATGAAAACTCCTTCCGTCTCCTCCTGGAGGGCTCAGTCTTATCGATGACTTTGATGACCTCCTCCTTCAGCTTCACATTTGTGCTGCTGGTCCTTCTCCTTGCTGCTCTCTTAGGACCATTATGACTGGGGCCTGCGAGCGGTCAAGTCAGTTCTGGTGGTTGCAGGCTCCCTGAAGAGAGGAGACAAGAACAGACCCGAAGATCAGGTAAACCGCCTCATACTTTCCACTCTGCTGGACGGTGGACGGTGGATCAGCTCAAACTCACCACTAAGTTAAACATCATCTGGCATCTTTTAAGTATGTTAATGTTTGATGCTCAAAATAGTGCATCTTGTGATAAACTATGAAATATGCCGTGTTTCCTTGGCAGGAACCCTTCTTATGAACTACAAGAGCCCAAATGTTTTGACTGCAGTCTTGTCACTGTCACTGTGTCAAATTAGGTGCTGCATTAAAGCTTCAGCTGCACCACAAGCAGACACCTTCTCTTGTGCAGTAGCTCCTGAAGCGTCGTCTCTGTTCCCAAGGTACTGATGCGCGCCCTGAGAGACTTCAACCTGCCCAAGATCATCGCAGATGATGTCCCCATTTTCATGGGCCTCATCAGGGACCTGTTCCCAGCCCTGGAGGTGCCCAGGCAGAGAGACCTGGAGTTCGAGCAGATGGTGAGACAGTCCACCCTGGACCTCTGCCTGCAGCCTGAGGAGAGCTTTGTCCTCAAAGTAAGAGATCCATCACAGTGAAGCCCCTGATGCTATCACTGCATTCACTATGGCTCTGATTACAGGCACGCTGGCTGGTGTCTGCAGAGAAGGGCCCAGCACATTCCTGGTGTTGGGGCCTGCCTTTGCGTCATGGTGATTAACGTTTCTTTGGGCTAATAAGGAAATCCTCCAACAAAATATGTCTGATGTTGAACCCTTGTCCCATTATCATTCACTCAGATTCCATGGAGTATTTCAAGTGTTGTGACAACCATGAAGTTGGAATTATATATTTTGCTAGGAACACATTTTCAGGGTTACAGTGTCATGCGTAAACAAGTTGCTGTACATTACGTACATGACGTAAGTCATGTAACCCGTACATGACGTAAGTAGGTGAATATTAATTAGACCTGGTATGTTGCACAATTCTAGAAAGCAGAACAGCCTAAAAAGAGATAATCAATTTTTACATTCCCATAATGTGCCTTTTTATGCTCTCTCTCCTGTGTCTGTGTCTGTCTTACCCTCACCAGGTCCTGTTAGACTCAGGAACCCATTTCTGCTGAGATAGAACCACAGTCCCCTATGCTTTCATAGGAGCCTCTGTTTCTTTTACAAGACTATTAACGTCTTATTGATCTGCCTTTTAGTTTTTCTCTGCTTGTTAGAGTGAGGATTTGTCTTGTTTACTTTGTGCAAATAGAGGTTAACTCACCAGAAAAAGTTCAAATCAGCCTGAATTTGAAAAGTGTTTAAGAATGGAAATATACAGTATATATATGGCATGTTAGTTGCTGCTCAGGACCATGAAATGCAAAATACAAACTATTTAACTACAGGTAATGATCTATGGAGAAACTGATTAATAGTGACGCCGCTAATAATTGTACTCATCGAGGCGATCAGAGTGTTAATTTTTTGCTTTCCAGGTGATTCAGCTGGAGGAGCTCCTGGCTGTTCGTCATTCAGTGTTTGTGGTTGGAAATGCAGGAACAGGAAAAAGCCAGGTAGGTTCCGTTGCTCTCCCTTTTAAGAAAAAAAAACATCTCTTTTACTCCTCGAGAGCATTGTATGATCTTTTCCAAAGTTTTGTGCAAGTAGTTCAACCATTCCATTACAGTGGAAGATGTACTGTGCAGTCTTTTAGGTCACATTCTGCTGTAACTAGCAGGTCATTAGAGTGGGCAACAGATGGCTGACATCACAGCATACCAGTCAACTCTCTCAAATACAAAGAAAATCCAAGAAAAAAGTAATGCTTAAATCTTGATTGTCACGGATGTCAGAAGGGACGAACCGTGGAATGGCAGGAGAGCGAAAAGACCCTATGCGTAGCGGCGAGACGGGGGTTAGCCGGGGCTCAGCTGTTCAGGGAACGCCGTATAGAAACCTGTGCCCTCAGGTAGCGGACGTGGGGCGACCTGGTGCTAGGCAGGTTTCAGGACATCCAAATGTCAATGCTGAGCCAAGTCAGACTGAAAGACCCGGAAATATATAGTCCCAGAGAGAGAGAAACACCGGAAGGACAGCAAAGAACCGGAAATGAGACAGGACAGAGAAGGAGCGTGACATTGATTTTAAGAGGCAAAACCAATGCACGCAAATAAATTGGTTTCTGAACTGGTTTATTCAAGGGCACTCACTGCATTTGCAGTATATAGCGTTTGTCATCCTGAAGGATTCCTAAGGATTTCATATAGAAGAGGGGTCACACTTTATCCATCACTGAAGAGCCTCCCCACCTGGATGGTCCTTGGCAGCCATTAGATACCAGGGGATCAGATGGAGGAGTAGGAAATAGCCGTACCAGTTAAATTAAAGCAGAACTTCAGGGAGGCCATTTCAAGCCCAAACGACATTCAGACAGGACACTGAGGTTATACATCCTAAAGCACAAGGTCTTCAGTCACCATACATGGCCCAGAGGGAAGAGCACCACCTACTGGTCCACTTCCAGCAGGAACCTGGTTTTCCTTGGAGCTTTCCCATGCTAACAGTGTCTCAGCCCAGCCTACAGTAGCTGCACTGCCCAGATCTGACAGTGCTATTGGGAATGCAATTTCCCAATGCAATTAGTATTCGACGCGGTGGATTTATAGTCAAGCCAGGTCTGCACTGTTGTTAAAACTACTGAAGCACTGGTTTGGTGTTTTTATTTTTTATTTTGATCATGCTTGAGAGCAAAGTGTCTCCAAGGTCCTTTTAAACCTGCCTTCCAACGCCCAATCCAATCACTCAGGCATTCAGGCAACACATCCCCCGCTGTGCGTACTGCTCGATGACAGACCCTCCATCTCGCTTCGCAGGTTTTGAAAACCTTGAACAGAACCTACTCCACGCTGAGGAAGAAGCCTGTGTGGAGCGACTTGAACCCGAAGGCCGTCGCCACCGACGAGCTGTTCGGCTTCGTCCACCCCGCCACGCGCGAGTGGAAAGACGGTAAGTGGACTCGGGGCGGGCGAGCAGCACGTGTGTCGGGGGGCCAGCCTGCCCTCGTTTTGTTGTCCGTCGCTCCCACTCCCGACGTCAGCGCGAGCCTTTCCCGTTTCAGGGCTCCTGTCGTGTCTGCTGCGCGAGCAGGCCAACCTCCCTCACGGCGGGCCGAAGTGGATCGTGCTGGACGGAGACATAGACCCCATGTGGATCGAGTCCCTCAACACTGTCATGGACGACAATAAGGTGCCAGATTGCTCCTGTGACTTGGCCGTGACAGGAATTCTGAATGAGGCTACATCAGCGGTCCTGGTTTGGGGCGAGAAACGCCTCTCTGCTCGGTTCTTTTTTACAGTTCAAAGCAGTGATTTCAGTGAGTTGAGAAATTGGAATTGGACGCTGTCAGTAGCGGGCTGTAAGTGAAGGACGAATGGGTTCACGAATCCAGTCACGGGATAGAGAAATTCCAGGCCGAAGGGGTTGGTCTAGAGAGAAGCGCCGCACCTCAACCCTCTCCACGTTTTTCCCGAAGGTGCTGACGCTGGCCAGCAACGAACGGGTGCCTCTCACTCCCTCCATGCGGCTGCTCTTTGAAATCAGCCATCTAAGGACGGCCACGCCGGCCACCGTGTCCCGAGCGGGAATCCTCTACGTCAACCCCCAGGATCTGGGCTGGAACCCGTGAGTCCGTCCTCGAAATCTGCACAGCCCTCCGGTGTGCACGACACCAGCTTCCTGCTGCTTCCTGCTGCTTCCTGCTGCTTCCTGCTGCACCACATCAGACATTAGAGCCGCATTCCCTGCACAGCAGTGACTCCGGGTGGATCTGAATTAGCGGCGCTCAGGGTCTGCAGCACGAGGAATTAGAGACCAGC